TTGGAAAAAAACGTTCCTTACACTATTATAATACTCCCATCAGTTGGCACTGTTGGAAAAGAACGTTCCTTACACTATTATAATACTCCCATCAGTTGGCACTGTTGGAAAAGAACGTTCCTTACACTATTATAATACTCCCATCAGTTGGCACTGTTGGAAAAGAACGTTCCTTACACTATTATAATACTCCCATTAGATGGCACTGTTGGAAAAGAACGTTCCTTACACTATTATAATACTCCCATCAGTTGGCACTGTTGGAAAAGAACGTTCCTTACACTATTATAATACTCCCATCAGTTGGCACTGTTGGAAAATAACTTCCCTTACACCATTATAATACTCCTATCAGCCTGCACTATTGGAACAACACAAGCAGAAAAACAGCGCCCACTGAGATGTTTTCCATATTTTAGCGAAAGTTATTTTGCTGTTAAACACAAAGCTACACAATAGGCTATCTTGTGCTATGCCCACCATGGGGATTGAAACCCGGTTTTTTAGCGTTATAAGCACTCACTGAGCTACTGAGGGGCGTCAGTATAGAAGATGATGAAATAATTCCTTAGATGACATAGCACGTTCTCAGTAACTCTTTGTGCGGAGTTATATTCTAAACACCTCAAGCTGTGCTTTTCTGCTTGCCTCAAATATAAGAATTTTGTCAACTAGTTATCGGATGTCATATGACGATATTAGTTATGTCTTTTCAAGTTCCAGTGGAGATAATAAAATATGTTTTCTTGTTGAAAGAATAGATCAGTTGGAGCGAAGCTGACGTCTGTGTAACTTACAAGACTATCTAATCGTCCTCTCGACGTCTGTGTAACTTACGAGACTATTTAATCGTCTTCCCGGAATCCTTTGTTGCTTCCAAGATACCTGTGTGACTTACAAAACAGTCAGTCTAATCGTTTTCTCATAATCTATTGTAGCTTACAAGACTGTCTAATCGTCTTCTCGACACCTCTGTCGGTTAGACTATGTTTAAGTTTCTTCTCAACATCTATTGTAGCTTACAAGACTGTCTAGTCGTCTTCTCGACATCTATGTAACTTAAAGATAGTCTAATCGTTTTCTCAGCATCTATTGTAGCTTACAAGACTGTCTAGTCGTCTTCTCGACATCTATGTAACTTAAAGATAGTCTAATCGTTTTCTCGACATTTGTTTACCTTACAAGACTGCCTACTCGTCTTCTCGACATCTACATAACTTACAAGGCAATCTAATCGTTTTCTGTGTCGGTCAGTTTTCCTACTGACACATATTTCCTTTAGATTGACACTGTCAATTGACAAATGACTCTTTGAACAGCCTATTAAAGAAACACCTTTTGTTAGTGGCACTTGTACTAAGAGACATTGTCCCTCTGAATGCCAGAGGGAATTCTTGTCTCACAGCATAATCATGATATATCTGTGTTTATAGAGCAGAAGCAGGTGATCAGATTTTACAAGTACAAATACAATATTATTTGCACATGCAAATGAATGAAGTGCTCTATGAGTATTTGAGGTATGATCCTAATAAAGTGGCCAATAAGTATAGTAGCTAGCTACTTTAGTCAAATGAATGAAGTGATCTATAAATATTTGAAGAATGATCCTAATAAAGTAGCCAATAAGTATAGTAGCCAGCTACTTTAGTACTTAACTATATTAGGACTTAACCTAATATATTTTTACCACGTGAATTCATCACGTAAGTGAAACTTTCTCTACGTTCTTCAAAATAATCAAGAGCACCCTTAAAAATCGACAATGTATTATTTCCTTCAGAAATCGGATTTCTAACTTAAGCTGTATATAACACAATATGAAATGAGGTTGAGTTCTATAAACATCACCTTCTTCCCTGATAGCTCTTGACTGGTCACATTAGATCATTAAAATAACATAAGTATGTTATTGTTGATAGAATTAACATCATCTTTCTTACCTGAATAGAAAATTGTTCAAATTCTCTACTAACTCTCCTCAGGATAGATCCAGCCTCACGAACCCGTTCGTCAAATGATAAAGGTACGGAAAGAGACCGGCCACGTGTCTGTGCCAGTGGAGATTGGACCACATCGGGGAGAGTTCTGTGAGCTGATTGGTTCTCTGTAGACACCGGAGCAGAATTAGTGTCTTGGTCTGGTAAGTGGAAGACTGGATCACCTAAACGGAAATTATATCTTAAAATTTGGGATAAGCAACTGTGGGATCAAGCTACCTAAACAATCACACAAGTTGTATTAAGGAGTATACTGTTCTTTTGGGTAAATATTTTTGTCGTTCATTTTGCTATTAACAATAAAACAACGCATCCACTGGTAATACAGACACTTATTACATAGGCCTTTCAATTAGCAGTTAGACATAACACTGAGCGCCTTCTTCGTATTTCATATATATATATATATATATAATTCTATAGACCATCGTCTTCTTTTAGGTCGGTTCTTGGCAGTGTTTTGAATTCGTTGGCTGACATCTTGTGGATATCTACCATTTTTCTTAGTGCTCAATGTGGAGCCCGAAACGTCGCCCAACACATGGAAAAATGGCAGATGTCCATATAGATTCTAAACACCAGAAGAACCATAATACAACGAAATACTTAACAATTACAGTTACCTAATAAATGGTAAGATTGATATCTCACATTGAATGTCAAAACACATACCTTTGAATAAACCAGCCTTTATTAAACAAAAACCATTTCTTAAATAATTTTGTCCCTCATTAACTAGATATTCAACGATAAAAGTCACAAAATTACTTAACTGATACTCGGGTTTAACATTTAAAATATGCCAGTGTTTACAGGCAAGTGTTTTACAGCATGCCAGACATCAAACGAAATCACGATGTTTTGAAAAGTCTCGCAGTGTAAAAGAGTTTCGTACTTCGTAAGTTTATTATTTTTTTATCTTAAGACTGTTGATACGTGAAAATTCACTTGTCCTTTCAACTAACTTAACTTGAGGTATTGTGGCACTACAAAGAAACCCCTCGTCGGCGGGACTTAAGATACTATTAACATTTGATAATTTGAAAAGCCGTTCTATGAATAATTTTCACTGAAAGCCTCGAAATCACCATTCAAAAATAACGTTTTTAGGATGCTATTTGTAACTTAGTGTATGTTATTGCCACCTCTATTAAGTTCTCAAAACAATAAATTGGGATGTCTGCGGGCTTACAATGCTAGAAACCGGGTTTCGATACCCGTGGTGGGCAGAGCACAGATAGCCCATTGTGTGGCTGTGTGCTCAATTACAAGCAAGAATTCGCTGACAGAATTTAAAAACTATAGCGACTTTTTAGGAAGCTAATTATATGTGATTATTCAATTATCACAAAATATAATGATTGAGAAAATTATGCTTTAATCACGTTTACTAAGCCTAGCGTCCCCGGTGGAACAGCGGTAAGTCTTCGGATTTAAAACGCTAAAATCAAGAATTCGATTCCCCCTCGGTGGACTTGGCAAATAGCCCGATGTGGCTTTGCTATAACAAAACACACACATACTAAGCCTAGCTGTTCTATCTGACACTATTCTGTTACTAAAAGCAGTAAACACTGAAAATATGTTTAGTTGGGTATTCTGCCTCCAAATGTAATATATTATTAAATGATCAGTAAAATATAATGTCATCAAACAGGTTTGTTCAGCAAAGCGTCTTGCTCGTCATTTAAGGACTAAATAAAGACTGTTGATCAACCATCTGTTCAGTAACCCATGGTGTGAAATATAAAATACTAAAAAAAAGCTGTTCTAAAACCTATTTTGTGATTTCTTAAACAGCAAAATGAAAAGAAAAAAAAAAGAGAGGGGGGGGGGAGAGAAGCGTAAGGTAAGGTATTGGCTTTGGTGGTATATAAGTTGTGGCTATTAGAAAACTAAGCGTAAGTATTGAATAAAGCTAAATTTTGACCACACACGTTCAATAATGTTATCGCCAATAAAACGTTAAACAGACGTTGAGATAACGGAAATTGAAACATATGCATATGTTCTTTAGAAACTTTCAGGATAGATTGCTAAATGTTAGAATCTAAAACATCAAGCTAATCCATAGAACCATTTTAAACAAATATGGTCATTTAAACACAAGCCAGAAATCCCTTCACAGGCTATTTTATCATTTAAAACACCAAGCTAATTTACAAGATAATTTAAACAGATATGGTCATTTAAACACAAACTAGAAGTCCCTTCACAGGCTATTTTATCATTTAAAACATCAATCTAATCCATAGAACCATTTTAAACAAATATGGTCATTTAAACACATGCCAGACATCCCTTCAAAAGTTATTTTATCATTTAAAACAACAATCTAATCCATAAGTTAATTTAAACAGATATGGTCATTTAAACACATGCCAGACATCCCTTCACAAATTACTTTATCATCTAAACCGTCAAACTAATCCATAAGATCAATTTAGAAAGATATGGTTATTTAAATACAAGCCAGAAATCCTATTACAAGCTATTTTATCATCTAAAACACCAAGCTTATCTGAAGATCATA